TAATTCATATCTATTATTTTATTAAAAATTTTGATTGGCCTTAAATATTTAAAAAATTAAAAACAAAGAGTAATTCAAAGTACGAAACAAAAATATAAATTTAAATTAAAAATTTTGATGCATCCAAAAATTAAAAAAAATTACGAATATTTAAAAATAAACATAATAGGTTTGTAAAAAAGAGAAAAACAAACCATAATATATAAAGGTTAAAATAGAAATTTTATTATCAATTTTCACAACTCGAATAATTATGTGATTGAAAAGAATTTATTTGTAAAGCTATATTTCAGTGTGTGTGGCTAAGAGTAAATTGAAATTCCATTGTACTTAACTGGAGGTCAACTGGTCAAATGGAATGGACTCACCTTTTTGGTAATCTTGTTTGTCATGCTTGGCATTCCGACCAGGCCCATGCTCATGGCCATGCTTAAATGGTTCATAACCGGCGCTCGATGATGATGTGGATGATGCGAGTGTCCATGGCTGCCATGCCCAAATAAGTGGGCGGACTGCTGATGCTGATGCTGCTGATGCTGCTGATGCTGTTGGTGTTGCTGATGTTGATGCTGATGCTGGTGCTGGTGCTGGTGCTGATGCTGATGCAGTTGCTGCTGGGGCGGATGGTGCGGATGCGGATGATGTGCGGCTGCAGTGAGCGGCATTGTGGGGTCGTTTAGCCGAAAGCGACTCATATGGAAGCTGGAGCCGTAGCAGTACATCAACACCATCGTGGTGGGGAAGTACAGGGCGCATGTGGACAGAATGCGGTACGAGGGCTTGCTGTAGAACGGCTCGCAGGCCATCAGACCCGTGTTGTTGAAATAGTAGCCTATATGCATAAATATATGTAAATATATAAAGAGAGAGAGAGAGAGGGAGAGGGTGAGAAACGTCAAATGAGCAGCTGCATTCGATGGCCAGCTGGAAATGGATGGAGCACTCACCTTTGGGCAGCACCAGAAACCCAAACACCGTCAGGCTGATAATCCACGTTAAGCTCAGTATGGCCACACAGCCCTGTGAAATAAACACATACATAAACAGACATGCATGAGATATACATATACATATACATATATTTAACAGTTGTTGCTGTGGCTAGAGCTAGGTTTAATTTGCTATTCGCAATGGCATCCCACCGTGACCCAACCACTATGTTGGCATTAGACTTTGCCACATACTCACAGTCGACTATCTCCCTCACTCGCACTCCCACTCCCACTCCCACTCCCACTCTCTTTCTCACTCCTTCCAGCTGTTTGTGTGATTTATGGCCAGCGTGGCACAATGTGCTCTGATTTGAAGTCATCCCACTGCGCTGCATTGCAGCTGCACGTTCTGCCCTAATCCTAATTACCCATCAAAAGTCAATCTTCTATATGCTCTAAGCCGGGCAGCTCAAATCCATTTGGGCATTTGATGGAGTGAAACGTTAACTTTATCGACAAATATTATTTTTTTTTTTTTTTTTTTTTTTTTTTTTGGCACTGACTAATCTTATTAGTGAGAGGCAATTCTTTAATTTTGGATATTATATGTAGTATTAAATAAAATAAATTGAATTTTTCTTTGCACATCGTATATACTCCTATTAGTTTTCTTTAAAATTGATTTTATTTTAATTCAGTATATTATTTATAATTTTATTTTATTTATTTGCTCAATATTTTTGATTTATTATTAATAGATTTATTGTCAATATATTTCGTTATTTATAGCTTTATTTATTTAATTTTAGTATAATACTTATGATTTTGTTTTATT